CATTTGTTTAGTCAATTACCAAAATTTGGATGATTTTGAATATTCACTTGAAAAGTTATCAAAGAAAAACATTTTTCATTTTGTAACTTCGAGGGCCCGTAACTTGGTTGCGAAGACTTTTAGGAAAAAAAGTTATATGAAGTACTGGTGATATTTTGACCCCATCTATACATTCCCGAGAGGAAAAGAGGAAGTGCAGGGACACCCTGTATATACTTATATTAATGTGAGAGTTTGTGAGGATGGTTGTATGTATGTTTGTGGCTCTTTCACGCCACTGAACAACTAAACGGATCTGGATGAAACTTTACTTAAATACAGCTTATACATAAGAATAATTTATAGGCTACAATTTACAAAGGTTTTGTGTGATTTTGCTCATAATATAACGATAAGTATTGAGTAAGTCGGAAAAATTTTTGCTCCCTGAGAACTGTTTACATGCAGATAATGTACCGTAAGATTGTTTATCTCAAATAGTTCTGAATGAAAGTCCGCGATACCATATATCTGCCTCTTATGTGGTAGCCACTGTATACAAAATACAATGAAATTGGATGCATTTTTTGAAATGCACACTTCAAAATATCTGTCAAATTTTTATAAAAATTGATACAATTGTCGTTTCAAGTATTCAATATAGACAAACTTTGTCTTTCACAATAAAAAATTTGGACGAATCATTTGAAAGTGATCACGATAAAATTAACTCGACGCAACGCTGTAAGCCATTATGCGTCGCGTCTACTGTAAGACGACGAGAGACGATGCACGGGGGTGGAGGGGCGGTCTAAGCAATGAAGCGCCATCGCCGAGCGATGCCCGCGACCCTAACTCGAGCAGACGTATGAAGGCAGACGTCGTTGACGGTTGTGCGAATTTCTTTCATTACTCAATGTAGTTGGCAATTTTTTTTAGTTACTGTATCATTGAAGTAAAAATATAAATTACTAGCTGTTGCCTGCTCTTATATTAACGTATAGCCGTAACTACTGAACCTAGAATTTTGAAATATGCATGTAGCATATTTCAGGAGTTTCCACTCCCAAAGGGAAAAAATAGGAGTTCGAAGATTGTAATGAATTACGTCAGTTTTGAAATTGGAAACCTGAAGTGTTGGATAGATAATATTGTAACTATTTGTTTAAAGTGGTCTGTCATGAAACTTAATGTGACAAACCAAATTTTACGTGGGCGAAGCCGCAGGCAACAACTAGTCTGTAATATCTCTGAAAATATTCAGTTAAAATACATGTTCGAGAAAGATATTGTATAGCGAAACACGTGTCGCGGTTTTTTGTAAAACTCTTTATGGTCATACAAAAAGGGGTATTAGTTACCACATTGATCTATTTAGAATGCATAATGTATTCAAGGTATTTCATTGGATAAGGATTAACGCTGTATCCCTTAAAATCGCTTCGCAAATAAGCATTATTTCCCGGAGATAGGCATATACCATCGCGGATTTTTTCGTAGACTGTTTACAATACTTGTAGCCAGCGTTTGCAGGGTTTGCAATGTGAGCGCAAAAAATGTGTTTATTAACATCACATTACAAACATCTGAAATTATCAGTGTTTCTCTACTATATTATGCATGTTATACAGGGTATATCTTGACGAGTTAACGCGATGTATATATAGAAAACTGAAAGTAGGCGATTCTGAAAATTAATAGGATGGATGAAGATCTAATGGAGAATTCAACTGAAATATTTTTGTTAAAATGACGTTTAGGGTTTCACTGGAAGTGACGTCATCTTTGTTATTTTCAATGGCACACCCTGTATTTCAACTCTTTTTTGAATTCTTCCCATGGTTTAGATTCTAACTCATGTATCATACCCTATACCCAAAATGAACCGTTTTCGAGTTATTTGAGTTTTTTTAGAAAAAGTGGCAGATGCAGCCTCTCGCACATACGTCATTTTCATGTAAATTAACATTTTTAAAAATATGCAGCTAGTGAATCGTGATAATTGAAAGTTGAACGGATTATGCATCATTTTCACGTTCACTGAATAATCCACAGGGTGCTAAAAAATTAGGGTCCAATAAGTGAATGAGAAAAATTAAAAATCTCAACTTTTTCAAATAGGAACCCCCATTTATGATACACTTCCCTATACCCAAAACTTATGTGTAACCCATGTGTAACCTGTAACCTGTAACCTGTGCAACCTTCAATTAGCTGCATATTTTTAGAAATGGTAATTTAAATAAAAAGGACGTATGTTCGAGAGGCTGCATCTGTCACTTTTTCTAAAACAACTCGAATAACTCGAAAACGGTTCATTAGGTACAGGGTATGATACATGAGTTAGAATCTAAATCATGGGAAGAATTCAAAAATGAAGTGAAAAACAGGGTATGCCATTAAAAATAACAAAGATGACGTCACTTCCGGTGAAACCCGAAACGTCATCTCAACGAAAATATTTCAGTTGAATTCTTCATTAGTTCTTCACCCATCCTACCAATTTTCAGAATGGCCCTACTCTCAGTTTTCTATATATATATAGATTGCGTTAACTCGTCAAGATATACCCTGTATACATATAAACCTTCTTCTTGAATCACTCTATGTATTAAAAAAACCCACATCAAAATCCGTTGCGTACCTAGTTTTAAAGATCTAGGCATACTAGTGATTACCCATATCTTCAAAATTTTCAGAAAAAGAAAGTTCAGGCGAAAAACACACGTTTTTTAAAACAGAATATGTACGATCTACACATCCATGTATAGAGGTACTTATTTTCAAATTGATTACTTCCTTTCTTTGGAAGATTCCCTCATTTTTTTGTATCGAGATGGAGTAGTAGAAAGCCAAAAACTTTCTTTCCCAAAAATTAATCACTTCTAAAATTATAACCCCTTCAATTCAGAATATGTATGTTGTATTAGAAAAAACATGTATAAACTGTTTCTCATTTAGATATAAAGTAACATAAACAAACAAAAAAAAGTAACAAAAAAAAGATACTTGTCTATCGTGATCCCGTTATGTTCAAATTCGTCGTATCTGTCACCACAAACAGCTAACCAATGAAACTCCGACCTGTGGCTTTCGAATTTCAATACGTTCCTCACCGCTCGCAAGTGGAAGTGAGATAACGGTGACGTCGTTTGCAGCGTGGCAAAGTCTCGTGGCAACTTCTTGCCGTACATTCATTCAGTTTGATACTTGGTTTCGAGTTGTTTGGAATCATGCTTAGGTTCATATCAGGATTTTGTTTTATCAGCGCGTTTGCAGCAATTGCGCGGAGTAATGCGGACCTTAAAATTGAAGTGCTCTACAAACCAGAGACGTGTGAAAATAAATCGAAAAATGGAGATATGTTGACCATGCACTATACCGGTACTTTGACCGATGGCACCAAATTTGATTCTAGGTAAGTTCATTGACTTGTTTCTAGGTGATAGGCGATTACCGTAATATAGGTAAACACTTTTTCAAACTTGTGTGACATCGATGAAGTCAATTTTTTTGTTACGACTTTTTCCGAAGATTTGTATTTAGGTCTCTATCAAACGAATAGCAGTATGTTGTTTTATTGCCACAAAAAGTGAAGTTTTTTTGGGCAAGCGTGGAGATGGACGACCTGTTGAGGGAGTCCGTCTACCATGCGTGCTACACAAACATCTTCCTGAACCAAACCAATATTTTTCCTTCAAACGTGGAAAATACAAATATTCAAAAAATCAGGAGATTGGTATTTTCCTTTATATAACAAATGTCATCTTGACAGTCCTAGTGAATTCGATGTCTTAAAGGCAAAAATAAAATAAATTTTACCTTCAATAAAAATGTTTCCAATAAAAAATTTATTTATCTGCTTCTACAAGTATCAAGTATGATTATTTTTATTGGATTTTACACAAAAAATAATTCAATAGCAGAGTGGAAATTATCACAGTAAAGTGTTCTTCAGATTGATCAATCAAAATTGGTGAAGATTATTTTTATTGCCGGTAGCCGTGAAAATTGTTCCTTTCAGTACCGGTACGTCACTACAGTCACTAGAGTAATGACAGTCACAAAACATCATGCATTTTTGACAGACAGACCGTCGAATAATATTGAAAAATATTTAAGAAAATATCTTAGACAGCAAGCGGCATAATTCCCCAATTATGGAACAAATTAGTTATTTCGCAAGCCATGTAGTTTTTGGCCAAAATCCTGAAATAGGTTGATTTTTATTTTTGAATGCCGATTTTTAAATGTATATTCTGAAGGTATAACGTCACTCGTTTTGTCGCAGTGACGTCATAGGCGATTTTTCAAATTGAAATATAGGTTTTGTGGTACTTCATCTGGAAGGTCTTTCAATACCGCAATCAGGGATGATAATCAATTTGATATATTTTAATTTCGACCCTAACCCGATTTTCCATCTCTTCTAAATGTCACGGTCTACCAACATGAAGTTTCGAGGTCGGTCGAATAACCCTATGGAAAAATGTAGTGGCTTCAGATCTGGAAATCTTAGGGGCACACTTTCGTTCCGTACCTACTAATCCACTTCCTAGGAAAACAGTTATTTAGAATCTCACAAACATCATGTGCATAAAGTGGGGATACACAATAATACCCTAGGCACCACCAATGGTTCCTTTCAGATATGAATAGTTCGTATATTCTTATTATATTATATTTTTTTATTCAGCTATTTCTCTAAAATGAATGAAAAAACAATAGCAAATATTGCGGTGAAGAGTGATTTAGTCAGTTGAGATATCAACTTGAGGCGTTTTGTGAAATTTGTCACTACATGAAAGAGAGTTTGAAAGTAAACTATGGCTACTTTAAGTGAAACCCAACGTATAGTAATTTAAATTTTCATTGAATTTGATACACAGCAAGAGACTTGCGACTTGTCAAATGTGAAGTATCCAAATAGACCTATCACTTGTTCAACAGTTAGTGAGATTGGGAAAAAAACCAGAGAAACTGATCATGTCAAATATATTCCGAATGCTAGACGTCCTAGAATAGAAGATAACGTTAAACTTGATGTTAGTATACAAGTACAACTACATCAATTCCATAATGAGACATGTTCCAACGATTCACTTCTCATTCAGAACGACATCGATATTTACCACCACCAATAATATCACATAAACAAACAGCAACATCTGAAGTCAAGGACTTAGGAGTATTATATGATTCTAAGCTATCATTTGACTCGCATATTAACTATATTGCAAAAAAGCCAACAAAGCTCTTGGATTTCTGATCAGAACTTGTCACGACTTCCGTAATACTAACTCTGTTCGTAGACTTTACATGGCTTATGTAAATAGCCAGTTCAATTCTGCTTCAGTTATTTGAAATCCCCTGTATATCTCGTATATTGAAAGACTTGAATCTAGGTATACAAAGCAAATTCGTCACCTATATCAACAGAAAATTCTTTAATGATCTCAAAGATTCATTACAAATTAAAATACAACTCAATCTGATATCTTTGGCGGATAGACGCCAAATAGCTGATATTAACTTCCTATATAAAATAATAAATAATTGTTTGGACAGCAGTTCTATATTGAACCAACTTTTGATAAATATACCTCTGTATAATACCAGAGGATTACATTCAATCCAAACAAATCAAAGTAAAACTAATTACTATTTGAATTCTCCCCTAAATAGGTATTGTAAATCCTACAACTCTCTCAATAGAAATTGACATCTTTTCTAATTCCCTTCACCACGTCTCTCAAACGTTCATACAATCACCATTTTCATATCTAACTATTGTAATTTGTACTGCACTGCACTGTTCATAACACGTTATTGCATATTATTTATAACAATCAAATCATTTATTGTTATTTCCACTTCATCATTAGTGAATACTCTTTTTGGGTTTGTCCCGTTTTGTATTTCATTTAAAATAAATATATGAAATAAAATAACTGAATGAAGATGCTACTAATCGCCATATGGAATTCTGCCAAATGATGCAGGATTCATGTATACGCAATCCATGTTTTAACAAATCAGTTATATTTTCTGATGAGCCTACTCTTTGCCTGAATGGTTAAGTGAATCTTCAAAACTGCAGGCATTGGTGCAGGAATAATCCTGATTGAGTGATTGAGGATCATACTCAACACCCTCAGAAAGTTAATGTTTGGGCAGGGATAATAAAGGACAGCATTGTTGCCCCTTTATTTTTAAATGATATCTCACAGAAGAGAATGTTTGAAAAATTAACTTATACCTTTTCTTGACAATATTTTTCCACCAATCCTAACTCATCAAATGAAAGCATATCCAACATGACGGTGCATCTCCCGCACTATGCACGTGATGTTCGCCAGTTTCTAAATAACTGTTCCTAGGAGAAGTTTTCATGATTGAGGTACTGAAGTTTTTTCCAACCCCAAACCGTTATTTCAACACCTCGACACGTGTTTTGATCACCAAGTGATCATCTTCAACAGAAAGATCGAACTTTGATCTTCCTCTTGAAGATGATCAAACCGTTTGGTCTTCCTCTTGAAGATCACTTGGTGATCGAAACACGTGTCGAGGTGGTAAAATAACAGTTTATTGTTGGGAAAAACTCAATAATATTTATTACTACACCAAAGGTTCCAAACAGTTCATCACAAGTAATTGTCGTAAAATCAATTTTTGTGTTTTTAAGTAAAAAAGACGCCAAAAAATTGGTGCGTTAGTTCTTTTTTTCACGGACAAAACATACTCAAGCACTACAGAAAAATCCTTGAGGCGCTCTTAGAGCGGTGCCTGTGAAAAGTAGCGATTCACATTAGATTTGAATCGCTGGAGATAGTTCATGAAAAACGGATGGAGTTTCCACTGTTTTCGATTTGAACTCGCGATTAATTTTTGTTCCAAGTGTGAAAATGTCTTCCTTCGCCATTGAAGATTCCGCTGACTCGCGCATTTTTCAATTTGCTTTTCTACTCGTTAATAATCAAAAATACTTATTCAGAGTGCATGTTTCAAAGCTTCCATCTATTGTTAATCAACAGTAAAATTTAATCTAACTTTTACTAGATTGTCTGGACTACTGTTAGTCGACAGAGCGATAAGTAGGTAAATTATCTACCGCACAGTAAACGGTAAAACAAATTGAGTGTCAAAATATATTAAATGCAAAAGATTCGCCACTCTTCACTACAAATGTATTACTTTCTAAATGAATAAATTACGGTTCGACTGTAATTCGGAAACTCCAACTTTCTCAAATCTGAAGAAAAGAAAGTGTAGGTGTACCTACTTGGTGGGCCTGACACATATCTAATCATGAGTCAATCATTTATAGAATACATTTTCAAATGTTAGAAGCGAAGAATCCAACGTTTGAACTACTGAAACAACTTAAAAAAATACTAGATCGTATCACTGAAAAAGTTCCAAAAAATTTGGATATTTTTGCCAGATAAAATGAGATTCAATTAGTACGGTGACATTATCATGATTAATCAATCTAATAATATTATCGAACGCTCTACTCAAACAATAAAGTACCTTGAAAAAACAGATAACATATCACTATCACATACTTTCTATAACACAAAATTCCTCCATCGCGCCTGTTGGAATATACCCCTCATTATCATTTTTTATATATTTTGCTGAAATTTAACTTTCATTTTATTGGGTCTATTGATACCTACTGATAATATCTTGTAAAAATATGTTTTTAAAAACGTCAGTGAAGAAAAGTGGCAGAACACTATAAAAGAGACTCAATTGTAATTTTTGATATTATTTTGCTTTTCTAAAATTCTTAGTATTTCTCCAACGGAAATCTTCTTTGAGACATTTTAGAAATAGCTCCAAAAAATGTATTATTTAATAATAATAATAATAATAATAAATGACAGCAGAAATAACATGATACAATACGGAGAAAAAAAATACAAATTTGTTAATAGAATACAAGATTGAAAAGAGGTCGTTTTTCCTCTTGCACCTTACAAAAAAAAAACAAAGGTCTGAATTGTAATTGTGATAGCGAGTACAACATTTTATTCGAGTAAAGAGGGAACATGAGGCGGATATCGATACAAACATAAGAATACTAAAATTATTTTAGCTATAGCCTATAACAGCCAATGTGTTGTAGAGGATATTCGGGTATTATTGTTTCTTCAGAAGGTGTTCTTTCAGGCAGTACCTGAAACTGGAAACAGATTTCAACCGAAATGAAGGTTATATGTTATTATAGAATTCAGCTATTGTATATGTAAAGGACCTTTTGAGTAGTTCAATTGAGTGTCTAACAACATGGATTATTTTGCGTATGATGTTCACATTAGGAACATCATTTCGATAAGTTATTTTGTTATAGAGGAAGGGAGGTGTTCTATTGACAATAACTTTATGAAATAATGTCGAAGAATGAAG